CTCAGCAGTTTGTGGGCAGTTTAGAGAAAACAGTACTGGACAGTATTGCCCAGGCTTGTTCCAAATGCTAGTGTTTGTGTTCAGGCTCAAATCAGTGCACTGCTATTCTTCTTTCTCTTGTTCTTTTTCTTCTTCTTCTTGTTCGTCAACTCTGGCTGCCGGCCACTGCTGTCCACTGGGGACCACTGCTGCTGCTGTTTCTGCTGCTGCCCAGCAATCATTTGTCGCTGTCACTCTCTATTTTTCTCCTTTGTCCTCTGCTGAGTATTTGATTTGTGCCCAGTAGAACTCTAGCCCATTTTTGTTTGCCAGCAGCAGCAGCTTCTTCTTTTCCCCCTTTTCTCCCAAACTGACAAATGTGGCCATTGTCTTCTCTTGGTCGCCGCTTGCGGCGGCTGTGGCGGCACTTGCCTCTCTTCTCTGTGACAAAAGTAGTACTTGTTTGTCGCCGCTGCTGCTGCTGCTGCTGTGTTTGAACACTGTACAGAATCAAAGTGGAATGTGTGTGTTGTTGTCAGAGAAGTGCAGTGAGCAGTGAGCAGAGCTGATGATAGTGGTGATGAAGATGACCTTGTACTATATTTAAAGATCAACAGCAGTGAATGAGTGAATGGAGTTCCTTGTTTGCTCTGAATATCTAGTCCAGCAGACAAACACACACACACACACACACTCATTTACTCAGACTGTGTGTGATTAACTCGGACAACTTTTAATCGGTCTCCTCATCAACTTCTGCTGCGGTCACTGCAGCGAAAAAGTAGTGCATCTACTCACTCATTCACTCATTCACGCACTTCAATGAGTCACAGGAAAACTCTTTCAAATGAGGCAAACTTGGCGAGACTTTTTCTTCTTCTTTTTCGTTTTCCTCTCCCTAGGCTTACATAATAATAATAAGCTGGGGAAAATTAGGGTTGCTCCACTGAGTTCTTCATCAGAAACGACGGCAGCAGCAGCAAAGTGTTCACACTTTTGCCGCACTCTACTGCGCACCAGACTGACTGATTTGGCCGTTGCCGTTGCTGTCAGCTACAAAGTGTTTCCCTTCACTCCTTTACTTCTTCCTTCATCCTTCTTTCTCTCACCTTACCTCCTTCTCCCCTCTTTCCTTCTTCTCACACATCTCTTCACACCAATCACCTCTCCAACAAGAAGAAGGAGGAGAAAAAGGCAAAGCAAAGCAAAACGACGATGATGATGATGACTGATTTGCATTTTGTCGAGTTAAGCGCGTCTTTGCATGAGGCGGTTGATTTGAGTTGAGTTGGTTGATGTTGCCTCATTCTATTCCATTCTCTCTCACCTATTCATCGGCGGCCATGTAATTACAATTAGCATTTGCAATTCAGCGGCCACGGCGGCGGCACCTTCATCTGTCGATACACTGCTTTTCCTCCTTTGCAGTGCAAATTCCCCTGACTGTGAAGATGTCACGAGAAGTGAGTAGTACTCTGCCTCAAACTCGAGCACTACTAAAAACAAAAAGCCTCCTAATAGTGGTGGTGGCTGTGATGAACTTGCCTTGTAATTCTTCTCTCCTCTCCTCTCCATCTTCTGCTCCTCATTTCCAATGCTAATTGCTCAATCACTTCGCTTAGCACTCAATTAAAAGCCCATTGCCCCCTTGCCTTTTGCCTGGTTTGGTTTGGCTTGGCTTGGCCAGGCCTTCCTGCTACGGTTACAAATTTTGCCATCAACGGCTGTGGCGCAGATTTTGCCTGTTTTTCAACCTCTCTCACTGACGTCTTCTCTGACAGTGACTGGTTGAATTTTTCGTTCAGTACTCGGAGTTGATCCTCGCTCCCTGGCGAAACCTTTTCTTCTTCTTTCACTGCTGCACCGTGCTGCGATCGATTTGCTGCGGTGATTTGGCGTTTCACCAAAGCTCTTTTTCTCCTTTCATCTGCCAACCAATCCCAGTCAGCCAGTCAGTCAACTTGTGATCCTTTTGTGACCAGCGATCACTTGCATTACTAGCTGTGAAAGCTGCTTTCAAATTAACAGCTTTGAGGTTCCAGCACTCGTTCTTTTTTTTCAGTGTTGGCACCTCTTCTTTTTCACTTTTTGCAGCACTTTTATGAAAGTGTAATTAAAGCGCTGGCAAACTTTGAGCTCCTGCTGCTGCTGCTGCTGGTTCTGGTGCTTTGGCGGCTTTAGAACGGTGGCCAAATGGAATGTTGACTGTTGAAAGCAAAACCATCAGTTTCAGCATCAGCATCACAATAACCACTTTCAAAACTAGCACCAGCAGTAAGCAGCACCGTTTTTTGTAAAGTTGATGCGGCGGTTTCGGTGGTTTCAGTGGTAGTTGTAGTAATCTGCAGTGACATTTTTGCATTTTTAATTATTTGCCCATCGTCAGGAGCTGCTGCTGCTGTCCACTACTGGTCAGAAAAATTTCGTTGAATGGCAGTTGGTGGTGGTGTGATGGTGCTTTAGCTTTAGTGTTTTGTGCCTGCTTCATTCACTGACATTTCATTTGCCATCTCCACAGTTTGCACTGTGTTTGTTTCTTACTGTAAAGGAAAGCGAAGAGAAGAGAGCGAGGAATTTTTAATTAAAATGCTTTTCTCTATTGCATCACCACTATTTTTAATTATCATCATCTCGCTATACTTTTTTACTGCCGCTGCTGCTTCTTCATCCTCTTTTGAAGATTTGATTCAGTGCAGATTTGCATTTGCATACAGGGCACACAGGGCTCACTGTCAGTCTCTCAACTGAAACCGGAACATTCCACTTTGGATTCTTTTCGACACCGGGATGTCTTCATTTCATTAGCATATAACAACTGTCGTACAGCAGTGTTGAATTTTGTACAGTGTTTGGCTTTTGAAGTAATTCAGTAAATGTTGTGGCGACATACCCTGCCTAGATCCCCTCCTCTTCTTCTTCTTCTTCCTTAGCTCGCTTTACCAAACTTTTTCATATGCACATTGAAAGAATGAACTTAGTTTGGGTTTGGGTTGTCCAATGAATGAAATGCAGTGCCGCTGCTGAATTCATTCAGAATTGATTCTGGCCTTGTTTCAATGCCTCATTGTTCATCAATGAAGTTACCCTGCAGTGTTTATTCCGGCCATTGTCACTCAATGTTTCATTGAAGAACTCTATTGCACTCTAGCACCCCACCAGCACTACCACCACCACCCTGATTGACTGCCAATAGATGTACATTTTCCCTCTTTAATTGAAGGGCACCTTTAATTGCCATTTGCTGCAACTTCTGATGATGATGGCGGAACAGCAAAGCAAAGTGAAGGCACCAAAGTGGCGTTGTCAGTGCCGCTGCTGCTGCTCATTTAGAAAGAAGTGCCTTTTTGCTCGTTCTTTTGTTGCCTGCTCTGGCTAATGGAATGACTAGTGTGCACCCTATTCTCTCAGTGCTTGTGTGTGTTTGCCTGGTTCATAATCATCGGTTATGATGACACGACTGTCGCAGGGTTTCTTTTTGTCTGTTTGTCTCTTGGTCTGTCTCGGGTGCTTAATGACTTGTGACCATTGGCAATTCTAATTCCTGCAACAAAAGCAGCAGCAGTTTGACGCACGTATTAATCATTGCTACTACTGCTGTCGCTGATTCTTCTTGGACTTTCTATTTGTTTAGTGCCAACTCTGGCTGGCTAGTTGGCTCGTGTGCACGTCCGTAACGAGCTCTCCAGTTTGGTTGATACACTAACAGAAAAAGAGAAGGACATTATTATTATTATTTGGAGCTGGTTGTGGTCAGCCAGTGAGTGTGATTGGGTGTGCTATGCTAAGTAGATAGTACAGAGGAAAAGTGGGAGAGAGGGTTCAGGAACAGGCCACTAACTAGCTGGCCAACTAACTAACTGACTGACTCTGAAGTTATATTCGATTAGCACTTTTCCACTGTCCTGCAAGTGATTATTACCATTATTTCTGCTGCTGTTATTGCAATCATTATTATTATTAGGTTGATCAGGGCGGTTGACTTTGTTCTGCTGTCACTATTTCTGTCTCTGCTTCTGTCGCCCAATTAATCGGGTTGTCTTCATCTATCTTGCGCCTCCAATCTTTCTTCTCAAGTATTGACAGTAGCAGTGGTGGCTTAATTTTAATTCGCTGGTCATGGCCATTAGCTGCTGCTGCTGTGCTACGGTGCTGTGCTCCTGTCTGTGGTGATGCTGTCAACGATTGGGCAATTTGTTTGCCAAAAAGAGAAAGAAGGAGAAAGAGCTTCTGTGACAACTTCTGAAAATGTTGGTCTGCTTTAGTACTAGACAGTAGTTATCATCAGGTGATCTCAGTGGCAGTGGCAAACTTTGTGGTCAAGTGAAGTAAACTTTTCTGCTTTTTCTTTTGCTTTTTCTTTTGCTACACTTGAAGATGTGCACTTCATTTTCAGTGTCTGTGCCGCTGCTGCTGTTGCGCTGATGAAACAAGCCTGATAATTGCTCACTGGAGTTGCTGCTGATGCTGCTGCAGCTCAATTCTCAGTCTGAGCAGAATTGAGCGCTTTCCAAGAGCATAGCAAAGCAGAGCCGCTTATCGAGGCAATCTTTCTCTTGAAGAAGAAGAAAAAGGAGACAAGAGACTCGAACCAAGCAAGAGCGGCTTGATTTATGCAGCCACAGTCTACTGTGTGCACAGAGAGAACTCTCCGTCTACTCTACTTCTAATCGCTCCGCACACTGATGTCTAATTGACTTTAATTAAGCAGCAGCAGCAGCAGCAGCACTTTTATCAAATTAATTTATCACTTTTTGCTGCTGCTCTTCCTCTTCTTCTTCTTCTTTCTGTTCAGTAGCATTGAAGTTGATGCGGCAGGGCAGTTGTGATGTGATGTGTCCGTGTGATTGAGGTTGAGCTGTCTGTTCTGTTCTTTGCTTTGTGCTGAAAACGGTCATATTCTTTTTCTTTTTCACCGCCATTTTTATTTTATGTCGAGATGTCTTTATTATTATTTTTTTGTTTTGTTTTGCAGCAACAAAAAACTAACCAATTTTCTCCTTTTTGCTCTAATTCCAAAACAGATCATACGCGCGAGTTCTCATGCGGCCGCCTCTACTATCGCACATTCTACCTCGATCCAAGGCAGGATGCGCTCTACGTTGGAGCCATGTAAGTAGTTCATTGCACTGTCTGCATTGAAAATAGTGAATTCTAGAGAGTTTGTGAAAGGATTGCCGCCCGGCTCTCAATTGCCCTCAAGGATATCACTTTTCCAGGATTGTGCTGGCAGATAATGGTTTTAGTTCACTTTTCCGTGAGCACATTCTTTTAATCTTTTTGAGCGGATTCTTCTCCTTCTTCTACTGTCATTGCAATTAGCGTTGTTTTGCTTTGATATCCGCTTTCAACTTGACCAGAACTGTTTTATCTCTCTGGTTTAGAAAGCACTTAATTTCTATTTGTAACACAATTGAAAGGAATGGAGTCCACACACTGATTGCACTAGTAGTAATTTCAACTAGGTTCAGCACTGCTTTTCTTTGTTTTGTTTCCGACACACACACACACACACGATCACTTATCATCAATTTGATCTGATTTTCACCCTCTTCTTGTTTTGGTTGTTGGTCGTTGGTGGTGGTCTATCACCACAACCACTCGATTGAGTTGTTTCAGTGGCGGCGGCAACAAAGATAGAGAAGAGAATGATCTTCAGTGGTCACCAATTATTCGTTCTCGTTTGCTGGCNACACGATCACTTATCATCAATTTGATCTGATTTTCACCCTCTTCTTGTTTTGGTTGTTGGTCGTTGGTGGTGGTCTATCACCACAACCACTCGATTGAGTTGTTTCAGTGGCGGCGGCAACAAAGATAGAGAAGAGAATGATCTTCAGTGGTCACCAATTATTCGTTCTCGTTTGCTGGCCTAACTCAATTAAGACATTAGCTAGCGAAGTGAGCATCACCACCACCACGACCTTGCGCAACGACCAGTAATGGGCCTCAATTAATAACTTGCCTTGAATTGGCTCAAGTCGAGAACATTCTCTCTCTCTCTCTCTCTCTTTCAGCTCTTCAACTTTTCGAGTGATCAATCGCAATCTTTTTACTTCTATTTAGTAATTACAGCGCACCTTACTTTGATTAATCGATGATACCTGTGTGTTTGTGCCTCTCCCCAAAGTTCTGCTGCTGATTAGGCAGTGAGATGGGGCAAAGAGGCAAGTAGATCAGGAGTAGATTCCACTCGTAGATTAAATCATCGTTTCCTTGCCTCCTTTAGTGGGGCGTTTTCCCTTCCAGTGTGAGTGCTCTCTGTTTGATCGGCGATTTTTAATCGAAAAAATCACTTCAATTTTCTCCTAGCAGAGAAGGAGAGGGGCAGATGTTCAATAGCGTGCACTTAGCACGTTGATAAATCAGCACTGGCTGCTGCTGATTGAAGTGCTGCAAATCTTCTCCGGCTGTTATCACTCAATTTACGCCTGTCTACCAGTTACCTTCTTCAGGTCTGAAAAATTAGAACTGGGAAAAGTTGAAATTTTTGCGTTTTATTTAAACTCCTTTTTGTTCAAAACTGACAACTGTTGCATTGATGAAAATTCTGACACGCTGGAACTTTCAGCGGTAAAGAAGTGCTAGGGCTAAAAATAGACGACAAATGTTTTGCTCAAGCGTCTTTATCATGCGGTCATCATTCCAACACTTAATCAGAGGAAGAGAAGGAAGAGGACACTTTGATAAACACAGTGTCTCAAAGTGCTTCTACTTTTCTTCTCTGAATTGAATTAGTGCTGCTGCTGCTGTTATCACCCAATTTGCGCCTGTCTGTGTCGCTCTGCTGTGCTCTGCACTCACCTTCCAATTTTCCCCTCTTTTCATTTCATTTCAAAGTTGATGTCTCTCTCTCTCTCTCTCTCTCTCTCTCTCTCTCTCTCTCTCTTCTTAGGTTGTTTTCTGCTAATTATCACAGGAGAGTACTCACTGAGTGCTTCAGCTGTTAATTGGTGCCCAGCAGCGGCAGCAACCGACAGGAGACGATTCAATCGAGCAATGGTGCACCTCAGTTGGTGGTAATTGAGGTAGTAGTGCTGCTGCTGATGATGATGATTGAATGGATGTGTTCTGTGCTAGTGCAACAAACAGAGCAATGTCGGAGATATATTGATCAATCGCAATGAGATTCAGCAAAGTTGCTCAATTACTCGGAAGAGAACAGGAGAAAGGAGACTGAGATGATCAAAGCTAGCTCTGATCACGTAGTTTGGGTAATTGTTTGTCGTTGGCTCAGTGGTCAACTACATACATTGCATCCATCGGTGCTAGTTAGTGTGTGCCTTGTTGTTTGCAGGCAAACAGTGGACAGACAGACAAACACACGTCGAAGCACACTACTACACATCGGTGTGGCCATTGAAGAAGAGAAGCTCGACAGCTCCTTCTTCACCTCCTGTAGAGACAGAAAGAGAGTTCTGACTTGTTTTGGCTTTGGCTTTGTTCGTCATTCAGAGTGGCTGACTTTGTTTCTTCCTTATGTGTGTGTGTGTGTTGTGCTGTCCGTTTTCTTCCATTCCATTCCATCCATCACTGATGCTCAATCAACTTTGCGCTGTCTCAGCAGTCTTCAGGCCAGCTTAGCTGGCTTGCCTTGGCTTGGTGTGTCCACTTATGAAGGAGAGCTAGCCAGCCGGCCAGCTAAGGAAAACGAAGCCCAGTGACCAGTTTGAGTAGTAGTGAACAGTGAACAGCGAGCAAGAATCGACACATTTGCATAACACGATGGGCAGTGGTGCACACAATCCGCCGAGGATGCAGCAGCAGCTTCTTAGGCTGAGGCTTTCTTTCTTCTTTCTTTAGCTGCCCGTAAGAAGTTTGCAAGTCACTGTTTTGCTTTCCCCCCTCTTCTCCTCCTCAAGTGTGGCAATTGTCGAGTTGGCGCAAAAACTTATCTGACTGTTTTTTCGACTCTCTCAAAGTTCAACTTGGTTCAGCTGTTTTTGTTTTAGCTGCTGAGGAAAACAAAAAAAACTGACGCACATGCTGTCAGTGGTGGTGCTTTACTGTGCTTTTTTTTGCTGCTGTTTTCAATTTTTTTGTTTTTTGATTAACAATAACAACAACTTTTTCTTTTTTCTCTTCCTTCTCTTAATCCCAGGGACAACGTATTCAAGCTCAATCTAAAAGACATCAACAGGACGGACTGCGAGGTAAGTGTGCCAATGTCTACACAATTGAATTCAGTGCAAGTGCACTTCAAAAAACAGTTGACTTTTGTTTTACTCTGAGATTCTGAATCTCCTAAATTTCACTTCTCCCTCTCAAAAGTGGAACTGTCCACTAAGAGTAGAATTACCCTCTCTTTCCTTTTCACCCTTTGAGTTTGTGCTTGTGTGTGTTCCGTCCGGTCGATGTCCATCGTTTTTCTGGTGGCGACACAATGTGAACAGTCGGCGGCTGCCATAAATCACTGCCAATTTGCAGGCAAGCACTGATCTCCTTCCTTCCAATGGTTTTCCCTCTTCCCCTGTCGGTTTTTCTCTTCCTTCCCCTTCATCTCCTCATTTCCCACTTCTGTCAATCGAGTTGTGGAGTACAGCAACAACAGCAGCAGCCAATCAGTTGATGTGCTGTTGTTGTAAACACACAGTTACCACCAGCACCAGCAGTAAACAGACTTTGGAGCTTCTGCTGCTGCTTTTGTTGCTGCCCTTGTGCCACATTTTCCGGAGCATCTAAACAAAGCTAGGCTAGCAGTAACTCAATACCGCTCAATGTCAGCAGCCCTCTCCTCTTTATGCTTGAAAATCGCCACTTTAGCCCAGTACTAGCTGACTGCAACTGTAAGCACTGCTAAACACTGGGTGATTATGCCCCAGCACCCAAACGGTTGCTGGTGCTACTGCTGCTCAAAATTATATGAGAACAATGGGGCCATTTTTATTATTAACAAGCAGAGCAGCAGCCGAGCTACTACTCTTTCGTTAATTTAATTTTCTTGTAACTCGCTCGTGTTGGTAGTCTCGTGTTGGTCAACGTTTTCACCCCCTCTTTCACCAGCAAAAACAGCAGCAGTAAAAACTGCCTGAGAACGAGTGCAGCCTGCGACGGATTCGCTCTATTGGCCGATTTTTTGTTAGTGGTGAACAACTACACTCAATTTGCGCAACTTCCTTTCTCTCTTTAAAACGCTGCACCAGAAAGTGAAAAAGCGCTTAATTCTTGAATTGTGGGGAAGGGAGCACTGTGTCAGTGACACCAGTGTACCAGCAACTCAGTGTTCAGTCTGTCTGTATTCCCAGGCATCTTTATTTAGCGCATCAGGAGTCTTGCTGACTTGTTAGTGTCAACAACTCATCACCACCATCACAAGCACTGTCAACAACAACCACAACTACTGAAACAGTTCAGTTTCTTTAGCAGTGGCAGCAACATTGAGCAGCCGCTCCCGCTTAATGTGTGTGAGAGTACTTTAGAAGGCTCACTCGTTTATCAACTGTGCCGCATCGTTTGCCACTGCTGTTTTCCACTGCTTTCCACAGTTTTCACTCTCAATTTTCTGCCCAGTAAATCTCGTGGTGATGATGGTAGTTGTGGTCGTTTTCACTTTTCTCTTAAGTTGACTGCTGGCACACTAGCTGATGACTTATTAGCTTTTGAATGTAGCTCATAATTTTATTCTCAGTTTTTGCACCACACACACAACTTCACAGGCGACAACTTTTCAGCGTGCAACTTTTTTTCTTTTTCCTCTGCTTTGCTGCCATATTTTTAGCGCCCTGGTAATTAGACCAAACAGGAAAAAATTCAGCACTGGCAAGAGACAGTGACACGAGGTATGTGTGCTCATCAGCACCAAGAGTGCAAGATAACTTGTGCAAGCTGCTGCTGCTGCTGCTCCTGTCGCCCAATCAGAGAATGTGCCAATCACCCTGAGCAAAACCTTGTGCACTCAACTCACTTCAACCCCATCCCATCCCATCCCATCCCTCTTCTCTGGTATCTCACTAGATCTAAACTGTTGGAGTTAGAGTTAAAGTTGAGTGGACAGAACTGCAGTGTTGTGTGCCCGGCAAACTTCAAAGGCACAACTAATTTGCGCCCCTTCCCTTCCTTCCTTTGCTGTCGCTGTCTGATCTGAAGCAGCCTTGTCGGCGAATGATGATGATGATGAGCAGCAGCAACCGAAGCATCTTTTCCTCCTCAGAACCCGTTTTGCCCCTTGGCCAGTGTCTGGTCAGTGATCTAGTAGTAGAAGGTACAGTTCTCTTCCTGACGTCATTTTGGATGCTCGAGCGGTGCAATTCGATTTATTCATTGCCAATCAACTCGGTGGGTACTACAACCGGTTACCCTCGGGTTTTGCTGTGCTGAGGTGCTGCTGCTGCATCTTCTTAACCCCTCTCTTTCACTCAATGCTTCTTAGCATTTACCCCCTCCTCTCCCTCCTTTTGCACTGGGGTGAATTGAAGAATCGACAGACAGACAGACTGGTGCAGCTCTCGTCTCAACTCGGTCGGACAGGTCAAGTGCGACCACTGTTGTTGTTGTTGTTGTTGTGCATTGGAAATTAGCCCTGCTTGTCTGCTGCCTTCACTCTTCTCTAGAAGTCGGCAAAAAGATGAGGGGAGGAACACTTTGCAAAAAAGACTGACCGTGAAGTTGGGGGAAGAAAGAAAAAGGAGCGAGAGGCAAATGAAGACATTAGCGGCGTGCTCAGAAATTGCACACGGCAAACGGCACACACGCAGCACACTCGATAATCTGCCGGAAAATAGTAATCAGACAGAACACCAATGCCGCCTCCTCTCACTTCTCAGACTTCTTTTTGCTTTCTTATTCTTCAGTACTGTTCTTTTTGTGGTGCTCACCTGCCACCAGGTGATAACGAAGTAGCAGAGCAGCAGCCGCTCTTTCAATCTTGATGATCGAAAGCTGTCAGTTGGTCAGCGAGAAACAAAACTGACTGCCCTCTTACCTTTTTTCTCAGTTTGTCTGTCCAAATTGAATCTTCCATTCCCATTGATTAGAATGCGGCTCGTTCTAGAATGGAAAACTTTGTTCATTCATTTGCTCACTCAGTCAGTCATTCATTTAGAAACAGAGAACAAGAGAGGGATTCAGCGTGGACTTAATTAAAATAATGATGTTCACACGACTCAGATTTGTGCGCAACAGTATCAGCCACTATCAGTTGGTGCTGTGAACAGTTCAGCTGCTGCTACGGCTACGGCTGCTGCTTCAATTACATAATTGCTAATGTGTGATACCCGAGGGAGCGACAATGAGAAAGCGGAGATCTTCAACTGTCTGTTTGTGTGTAGAAAAGTCAGTGGAAAGGCGGTGTTCCATTTCGTTTTGTTCTAGTGCACTTCTCAGTGGTGAAAATGATTTTAATTTGTTCAAGTGGAGAGAAAAGGACAGTTTTGTTGTTGACAACGTCGTGTCACTTTTCTCTGTAGTCATAGTTCTAGGCATTCTGCGCTAAATGGTTTCTTCCTCTGACTGTCTGAGATTCTCTGCGATTCTCTCTGTCTTTCTACACTTCTTAATTGGTAGGCAAAAATGCACTGCAACAAAGTTGAATTGGGAGTTGCATTTTTTGTTTCTAGCAAACGCACACACACACACACTTTTATTTCTTTTGGTGCCGGCACACTGCTGCTGCCGCACACTCAATCGATAGCAATTAGCGCTCGGGAGTAAGTCGGAAAAGAAAAAGTATAAACGAATAAAAAATGAGTAAAGTAAAAAGTGTGCGCGCTTGCTTGTCAATCAGCTGAACAACTTTGCACCGCCAGTGTGTTTGACAAACGAGCCCGAGCAGTGAAAAAAACCAGCAAAAATGAAAATCGATTACACTTTGCTTGTGATTTATAAAAAAAATCTAGCGCTTTTTTATTCAACAAAAAACATTCAAAAAAGTTTACCAAAAAAGTGTGCCCACTGGTTGCACTGGCTGCCTGCTCACGTGGTCATCCCTTTGATTCCACTTTTTTTTGCTTTTTTGCGTGATTGAACACAGTTTCCCGTTTGAACTAGTGTCCGCACATTTGTCGCTAAAACATGTGTGTGTCTATGGCGACGACCAGCCGACACAGGAGCTCGAGTGCCTGCGACAAGTATGAAGATTAATGGTGACGTCCAGTGCCTGGTGATTCATCATCATCATCATCATCATCATGGCCAAAGACTATAGAGTGCTCTAATTGGCCTTGCAAGCTTCTACTTCTTCTTTTTCTTCTTCTTCTTCAGTTACTTTTTGCTGCTGTTACTTTTTCTCTTCTCAGCAGCTTCTTCTCAGCAGATAGCCAATCGATGAGGCCCCGTGTGCGTCTGCAGCAGTCTGTTCATTCAGTCTGCTCAGAGCTGCTGTCACTTTCAATTAGCAGAAAATTTTACCAGCCGTTCTATTTCTTTCCCTCTTTCTGCAGTTTTGATGTTCATTAATCTGCAACAAACAAACAAACAGTCAGTCAGTCGTTGAAACAGTTGAACTGAATTGCCTGCCTCTTTTTTCTCTCATTAATTACCGCTAATAATTTGCCGGGCTGCCCCTTTGTCTTAATTGTTTTGCACACTTTGCAAACTGACGCAAACTTTTGTCAGCCTGAACACGAATGGCGTTTTGGGGCAGCAATTGTCATCGACTGTGGCGGTAATATTAAGTTAGCGAGCAAGAGAGCGGGTTTATTACTACCAAACACTTTAGAGCTTCAGAACTTCTGTTTGACTTGTTTAGAAAGAAGGAAGAAAGAAAGAAGAAAGCGCTCACGAACTTTGTTCTCTTGCTCCTAATTGACTGCCTGCCTTTCTTTCTTTTTTGTCTTTCTGGTTCAGTGGCTGAATTCAGTGACTGACTACTTCAAAGAGAACTTGAGAAAACTGCTGATGGACCCTAGACATGCAAATGCGCCATGAGCAGAGAGCAAAATGTGAGGAGAAGAAGACCACCTTTGCACCTTTGCCCTCTCTGCTATTTCAGTCGAGACTGAGGTCAGAGAAGAAACTGTTGTTGTTGTGGAAACGTTGCTTCTTTTGCCTTCTTCTCTTCCGCGTGTATCGGTGTACACACACTGTCTCTGTCAGTGTCTGCCTCTGTCTCTGGTAATTGAATTTGCCTAGGAACAGAGCAGAAGATTCACTCACTGGCACTCTCACTCACTCACTCAAATGGCTTTTAGTGCGGTGGCGACTTGTCAGCAGCAAC